AAATTAATATATGTAAAAGATTTTTATCTTTTAGATGTGATGATTTGCCACATTTTTAGAGGAAATTTAATGTTCTTAATAAAGAGAATTGCTATTTTTTCAATTAACATACATGCTAAATGGTATATAAAACTAGGAAACTAGCCAAAAGTCAGATTTTTATATTATAAAATTTTTACCGCCTAGGCGACTAGGCGCCCCAGTGTCGCCCAAAATCGCCTAGATACCTTGAAAACTATGGGTAGGAGATAATAAGTGATAGCATCTCACCATTACCTTTACAAAGGATGCACTAGTTTGAGGTTAAACACCAATTAGGTAAGCTTCCCAACAAAAAGCTCCTATCCTAGGAGGGATTGATTTACCCTAAACTTTCTTAACTGGAAAAGGTTGCACAAATCCATTGGAGGGTTGCACTAACGCTCTAAAGAATGAGGCACAAGAAAAAACACCCAAAGAGTCCATATCCAATTATCCCTCCTTGAGGGATCTAGAACCAGCCCTTCCAGAACATTAATCAAGGTTCAAACATTGTGCAATTCAAAATCTAAGAGCCCTTCTAAAACCCAAATCCCAGTCAAAACCAAACTTGAGCTAGTAACCAACTCCTAGCTAACCAAATCCCAGTCAAAACCAAGCTTGTTCCTAAACCACCAACACTCTTACTTCTAGTAACCAACTCCTAGCTAACTCTGTGATCTCTTCTCTCCTCCCCCAATCCTCATAGGAAATCCCTCATCATCTTTTCAAACTCCTACAAACTCCCTCGAGAGTCTTAAACATTGACAAGAAATAAACAAGCAAATTAGCTAAAGTAGACTCAATCAATGTTATCCTACCACCCAAGGAAAGGTAACTCTTCTTCCATGAGGCTAGTCTCTTTGTGAATCTATCAAGCACCAGATTCCAAAAATTGCTCCTATTCGGATTATTCCCTAGGGGTAGTACCAAATAACTCAAAGGCCAATGAGAAACCACACAACCCAAAATGTGAGCCCTTTATTCCACCTCCCTATCACTCATATTAATTCCAACCACAAAACTCTTTATCAAAATTGACTTTAAGATTAGACATTTGTTCAAATAGGTGAACCACCAACTTGAAGTTCCTAACCCACCTGGCCTCATCTCCTTCACAGAACAAGATGGTATCATCTGCAAACTATAAATGGGTAACCAAAACCCTATCCCTTCCTACTCTCCACCCTCTCTCACCAAACTTCTAGGATCTATTCAATTAGTCTACCCAAAACTTCGGCAACCAAAATGCACCACTGCAACCATTTACACTATCTCTCCCCAAACCCAAATCAATCTAACACTTCCAAAATGAATGACCAATATATGCCTTTCCAAGATCCAATTTACAAACCAGCCCCTTCTTTTCGGTTCTTTTTAAATCTTCCACACTTTCATTGGCAATTAAAATCTGACCAATGATTTGTCTACTCTTTACAAAGGCACAATTTGGAGAGATGATAGTGGGTAGTACCTCTCTAATCCTCCGAGAGAGCACCTTAGCAATGATTTTACATAAACTATTTACCAAGCTGATAGGTCAAAAGTCTCGAGTGATTCGCTCCAATTTTTTTTTTTTTTTGGGCCAAGGCAATGAAAGTAAAGTTCAAACCCAAGTTAATCACCCCTCTTTCAAAAAATTCAATGACAACCTTTTGAGTGTCATCCTTAAGTATGTCCCAACAGTCATGGTAAAAATCCATCGTGAACCCATCCAAACTAGGTTCTTTAGATCTATCTATAGAGAAGATTGTTTCTCATATTTCCTTCAAGTTAAAACTCCTTTCTAGCCAAATTTTCAAATCTTCAGGTAACTTGGACCAACCCAAACCTTCTAACCTTAATCTGCCATTTAGGGGTCTTCTATAAATAGATTTGAAGTGATCCACAAAAGCCCCAATGGTACCTCTTTCTCTATTCAAGAATAATGAGGCAGTGATTGATTATGGTTTGAAACAATGATATGTTCTATACGAATATGGGAAGTGGAATTTAGGCCTTATAGAAGGGAAGATTGATTATGGCTTTGGCATAAAAGTATTCCACCCAAGGTATCTTTTGGCAACTGGAGGATTTTGAAGAACAAAGTGTAGGTGGGTGGTAATACACAACAACTTGGGATTCTTGTAATTTCTAAATGTGTTTGTTGTAATTTGTAAGCTTCCACCAATAGAGAGTTT